ATATAAATAGAAGCAAAATTAAATCCTCTTTGCAGCAAGAACTCACTGTTCAGTATGATATTGTGTGTGTGTGTGTGTGTGTGTGTGTGTGTGTGTGTGTGTGTGTGAAAGAATATGGTACTTGAGGCAGTTCAAAACAATGATGGTATTGATACTGAGGCTGGCTTCTAAAAATAAAGCACTGGTCCTATAAAAGCATTAGAAAGCGTAGTATGCAGCTAGAGTTATGCTTGTATTTGACAGCCATGGTGATGCACTTCCAGGAACTTTGGGGGAAATACGCATATGAGCATCCCTCCTCACTTTCTCTCTCTTTCTCTCACTCACTCCTTCCCCCCTCGACATATGACATAAGCAGAGTCATCTGCTAGGAATATATTGGCTCCTAGACTTTGGTTTGAATTCCACCAAAAGATTAGATGCTAGATTGGATTTGGAGAAGGTGGCCAGTCGGGACTGGGTGAGTTAGAGTTATACATTGGCAGCTCTGTGCAGGAAAACTGGTAAGCAACAGACCTGCCATATCATGGTCCCATTTCCAGGGTCTTCAACAGACTGAAGACGTTGATCCTGATCTGTCCTTTGTGTGATGAAGTGCATTAGGTTGTATGAGCCCAAGCTGTGGATTCCTGTTTCATCCATTCACCAGTGGCTGAGTTGTATTAGTTCTCATGAAACACATGTTGACTCACTTGACTTTCCAGATAGGCCAACTTAGGAGAATCAGCTCAGCTGTGAGGTTTCTGTTAGTCTAGAAACAGTGCTATAGGAACTGTGGTTCAGTGATTCTACGGTGTTAAGATATACTAGCATCCCTCACCACCTGCCTGCATTTCTAAGGGTTGCTGTGAATTTTGATGCCTTTCCGGGAAGCAGGTGACTCTATGGGATATGTTACTTGTTCAGGTTTCTTCTGTTGGGACATTAGTCCCTCCAGTCCCTCTGACACTGTCTCACATCATAAATTGATCAACAGTTTTGGATTTATGCATCTTAAAAATATGGGGAGCTTGCATGTACTTGTAAGAAAGAGATCTGTTCTCAACATACTGCTTTGCTTGCCTGTGAACTCATGAGACGGGGAATCCAGTGGAATCTTCAGGAAACCTTCCATGTAGCAAGGGGAGCAGATGAGCTCGCAATTGCGCTACCAGGAAGGAGTTACCACTCTGAGACACTGTGACCTGCTCCCCTTCTCTGAGACCCGTCATCTGAATTCATCCATGCCAACCCATTCTTCAAACACCATAGATTACTTTATCATATCTTTGGTAAAAATCAAGCATTTTAATTTTTGCTTTCTTGAGACAAGGTTTTTCTATGTAGTCCTTGCTATCCTGGAACTTGCTCTGTAGACCAGTCTAGCCTCTAACTCACAGAAATCTGTCTGCCTCTTCCTTCCAAGTGCTGGGATTAAAGGTGTGCATCACTGCCACCTGGCTAATATCAAACATTTTTATAACACTGTGTATACAGCCTCTGTCATCTTATACTCATTATTGTGGGAGATGGACATGCAATATTTCTGTTTTGCAAATTAGGGTACTAATGAGAATAAACACCTGATACGTCTTATTGTTTGTCTTGACATTTATCAGATCTATGTTCAATGAGATTTTGGTTTCCAAGTTCAATCAAGACCTTCTCGATACTAACCTGGAGATAATAGGTCACTAAGGAGGTTCCAGAAACAGTAAACCAATGCTTTAGGGTAGATTTCCATTGATTGCATGAGTGCTGTGTACCCTTGTGCAATTTTATAGCAGGAAAAACTGCCAAGGATGCTAGAGAGTGTGATAGCCATGCATTTCTCTGATGCTAGAGAGTGTGATAGCAATGCATTTGTCTCTGATGTTAGAGAGAGTGATAGGGATGCATTTGTCTCTGATGTTAGAGAGTGATAGGGATGCATTTGTCTCTGATGCTAGAGAGTGATAGCCATGCATTTCTCTCTGATGCTAGAGAGTGTGATAGCCATGCATGTCTCTCTCCAACCCAGTTTCATCATGGTTTCGGTAGTTTGAGAGGGCCTGGCTGACCAGGAGAGCTAAATGAGAACTCATCCTAAAACAGTGGCTTCAAACTTCTTCCTCTTCCTGTAAAGGTGGCAGACTCCTAAGAAAACTTAGGAGTCTGGACAGGTAGATGATAACTGCTAATAAGTTTAACGACTTAAATGAACACATCACTAATAAGCAAGTCCCCTGGGTTACCAAATCACTCCTAAGAGACATCATTTCATTTTGCTTCCTTTTTTAGGGGAGGTGGGGGTTCGAGACAGGGTTTCTCTGGAGCTTTGGAGCCTGTCCTGGAACTAGCTCTTGTAAACCAAGCTGGTTTTGAACTGACAGAGATCTGCCTGCCTCTGCCTCCTGAGAGCTGGGGTTAAATGGTGTGCGCCACCACCACTCGGCTATCATTTCTCTTTTTAAAGCAGAGATGGAACTGTGTATGGAAAGGAACCTGGTATCTCCTTGCCATCTTAATTTTGACCTCTCTAGAGTAGATCGCCTTTGTTACCACTGTACCAGTATACCCACAAGCTCTTCATGAGGCCTTCATGACTGATGAGAGATCGCACAGACTGGTTTTCCTACGGTCCAGGAAATGAGAAACATCCTCTGAGAAACACCAAGTTCAAGACCAGATGACATGAGACCCTGCCTTAAAAGAAAACAACACAAATATGTTCTTAAAAGCCAGCTGTGGACTATACATGGAACAGCTATCAAATTGCATGAAGAGAATTGCATGCAGGTTTTTTTTTCCTCAATCAATGGCTACCTTATTATCTATTATATTAGATCCTGTAAGGCAGGGTCTCCCATTTGATCTCAGAGCTTCACAATTCAGCCTGACTAGCTCGTTAGCTGGCTCGTGGACGCTCTTGTCTCTACCTCCCGCATGCTGGGATTGTAGGTGTATTGCCATGCCCATTCTGCATTTATTTGATTTCTAAACTCAGGTCCTCACCCTTGCACAGCAAGTGTTTTACCAAATGACCCATGTCCCAATCCCTGTGTGAAATTAGGATAAAGCAAAAGTAGAGGGTGAAGCTTGTGTTGCATCTGAAATATGATGTAGCAATAGACCATGACTGTTGGGCAAAACTGACCTTTCTAGAACTGAAAGAATAGGTGTGATTGAGCATAGCTTAGAGCTGTGACCTTCAGGATGCTGGAATGGACTGTAACTCGCATCCTGGAAAGCTCTTAGTGGCTCCCTGCCAGGCAGAGACTGGACTCCAGACTGCTTTCTCAGCATTGAGAACCCTCTTTGAGCCAGCCTGAGTGCTTCCTCAGCATGACCTCCAGTCCATCCCTACCCTGCTTCCCCTTCTTAGCTTCCCTCTGAGTCTCCTACCATATCTGTGCCCCACAGGCAAGCTTGTCTGTACCACTTGTCTGTCACTAGCTCTTGGTTATCAGTATCATTATCAGGAGGGGGAGGAGTTTTCTCTTGCCTTCCAAATGGGGCAGTGGAGACAACCATTCCTTTGTCTTTTGGGGTGTATATGTTGGGCAAATGTTTGTTGAGTGCCTGCTGTTTGTAGAGAAGATGAATAGCTCACAGACTACAGCCCCAGGCAGCTCCTGTTCTGGTAGGGGGCACCTGACTGGTAACCAGAGAGCCAGAAAACCTCTTGGTAAGTGGGCTGTGGGGGAGGAGTTGGCCCCGGTGGCTGTGGGCCCAGAGCTGCTTTTCTGGCTTCAGCACTGCAGAACCCTTCAGAAGGCCACATGTCAGCAGGTTGCATGGGAAGAGCTGGCACTGAAAGGTGGGAAATGAAGATAAATGGATTTTTGTAGAATGTTATTGTCCTTTACTGCAGGGGAAGAAGGGTTTAACTTAATTCACTCCTGTCTGTTTGCTTGCTTAATTTTGCTATGGTGCCAGGGATCAGGCTCAAGGTCTTGGCAGTAACCCCTTCATCCCCCACCCCCACCCCCAGGTTTCTCTAGGAAATAACAATGAGCCCTTTAAACATCCTCCTGTTCTCAATTATGTGACCTGTATTTTATTTTTTGGGGGGGGGGGTGTTGTCAGTCTTGCAGCAAGGAGCATCTTAGGAGACGTTGATTGTATTTGTTGTGTGACCATGGATAACTTAACAGTTGTGTGATGGTCTTGAGAATAAGTTAGAAATCTTGCTTCTACCTGGAGGAATGATGAGATGAGTGTAGAGGGATCACTGACGATTGCCTACTTAAATCTTTATATTAAACATTTTTTTATTTTCACCCCCAAATAAAAAAGAACCAAAAATATTCAATATGATGTTTAAATTTTAAAACATATTTTAGAATACTGTATTTGAATTTTACCTAAGCTGTCACTTAAACTAGTCCAAATTATTGACTTTGGGGGTATCTTTTTATAAAATGGAAGAGACTAAGACATTCATTAGAAAGGATGAATAAATCTTATTGGTTTTGAAATGTATCATTTTAAAATAAATAGTAAATGGCACCCTTAACAAAAATATTATATGGGTTTTACTTTTGGTTATAAAAGGAATACCGCAAGCCGGGCGATGGTGGCGCACGCCTTTAATCCCAGCACTCGGGAGGCAGAGGCAGGCAGATCTCTGTGAGTTCGAGACCAGCTTGATCTACAAGAGCAAGTTCCAGGACAGGCTCCAAAGCCACAGAAAAACCCTGTCTCGAAAAACCAAAAAAAAATAAAATAAAATAAAATAAAAGGAATACCACCGATGAGGGGAAGCATGTGCCCTTGTCAGACTTGACACTGGAGAATTGATTTGAAATGTAGGTCTGGTCTGAATAAGGGTATTAAAACAGTTCTTTTTGTTTGTTTATTTGAGACAGGGTTTCTTGGTGTAGTCCTGACTGTTCTGGAACTCACTCTGTAAACGAGGCTGGCCTTAAACTCAGAGATCTGCCTGCCTCTGCCTTCCAAGTGCTGGTATTAAAGGTGTTCACTAACTCTGCCCGACAATCGAAACATTCCTTGTCCACTAAGAAGCATGTTTCTTTCAGGTTATGAGAAGACAGATGATGTTTCAGAGAAGACCTCGCTGGCTGATCAGGAGGAAGTAAGAACCATATTCATCAACCAGCCTCAGCTGACAAAATTCTGCAACAATCACGTCAGGTAGGACGGGCTGAGGGGAGGCATGGGAGGGCAGGATGGTAGAGCAGGTTGGGTGGGAAGGAAATCCTGCCAAGTATGGTGGCACACATCTTGACTCCCAGTACTCTGGAGGCAGAGGCAGGTGGATCTCTGTGAGTTCACAGCCAGCCTGGTCTACAGAGTGAGTTCCAGGACAGCCAGGGCTACACAGGGAAAGTAACCCTGTTTCGGAGGAGTTTGGTGAGGTGAGTTACCAGGAGCTCTCAGCTCAGGTAGGACGGTCTGCTGTTCCACTGCTTGCCTTCCAGAAAAGAAATGCAGGCTGTGGCCTGACTCATGGTAGAGTGCTTTTGTCTAGCATTATAAAGCCCTGGGGTCAATTACCAGCCTCTCAAACAAAAGAAAAGGCTAAAATCAAAAGCCCCTGGATGTAGGAAGGAGCAGAAGGAGCAAGCACCCATACTCCAGGGACTTTGACTAATCAAAGCTGCCCATGGACGGTTGGTTGTCTTTTCCCTAAACCTGCTAATGTAGCGGTGTATTATTTTTACATGCCAAGTTTTAACAGAATAGGATCAAATCTTGCAATTCTATACCAAGAACTTTTGGAGGTTTGGTTTGTTTGTTCTAGCTAGAGTCTTAAAATATGGGTTTGGATGGTTGTAATTTAGCATGCGCAATACAGCATGCTTTGAGAATGCCTTCCTTACTGCAAACCATAGGCTTTCAGTTTCAACAGTCATGAAACAATTCCACATAAGCAGTAGGTTCTAAGCCGCTTTGGACCACATGAACACCCCCAAGTGCTTGCCTGGTTGTCTCCAGGGGCAGATTTACCGTATTTGAGATGTACCCATTTACAAGATTGCAGATCCTCTCACGTATCTCTGTTGAAGAGTATGGCATGGGTTTTTAATCTCCCCCTATTTATTAGCCAAAGGAAGGAAGACGTAGCTGTTGCCAAGACCAATGTGTTCATTTCTTACAGACTCTGGGCAGTGTGGAATCCTCGCCATGTTCCTAGCATGGTCATAGAGACAGCACAGGAAGAACAACCGAAAAAGCTGTTGGCCTAGTTATCTAGGAAGCTGTGTCCACTGTCTGCCCTGTCAAAGGCCGATGTTTCTCTGTTGATGTATTATGCAGTGTCTTATCTAAAATTGCCCTTCTTTGCAAGCTACTCCTGGTACTGTTCAGTGTGATAACCGGCCAGGGAAGACAAGTGATGTTCTAGAGAAACGAAGCCCGTGGGGATTCAGCCTTGGCTGTTTTGCCCATTCCTTTCCCTGTTTTGTGTACATTAGCAATCCTCACTATAGTTTCCAAATTGGAAACTGTGAACAAATGTTGTCCTCTGATCGCTCCTGTGCTGGGAACAGAACTCTGAAAACACGGGTGCTAATTGCAGAGGAGCTAAGCTCTATGCTTCCTTTTGTTTTTGCTTTCTAGTACTGCAAAATACAACGTGATCACATTCCTTCCAAGATTCCTCTACTCTCAGTTCAGAAGAGCAGCGAATTCGTTCTTTCTCTTTATTGCCCTGCTCCAGGTAAAGTTCCGTCCATCTTCAAACCTCTGTTCAAAGCCAGTGTGCAGGAAGGAGGAAAGAAAGGCTTTGTTAAATCCTCCACCAATACCCTGAGGCTTGTAGAAAGGCTGAGCTATGAGCTGGCCATAGTGCGTATTCCCTGCTGCTGGTGCTGCTACATGCCCACAGTATCAGGCATCCGCCCTCCTCAGAGCCTTGGGTTCGGGCTTATTCAGATATTAGATATGATCTGTAAATTCAGTGTCAACAAGTGTTCGTTTTCAGCGTTGAAGGGAATAGACTTTCTCCCCAAATTGTCCAGTTAGTTATCTTTCAGTGAAAGTGTTAATACTGATTGACTCACTATAAAAATTATCACTTACAAAATGACCATTTAGGTTAGTTGTTATAAATGTTTTAAGAAGAAAAACTGCATTAAAAGTAGCAAATGTTTACTGTTAGCAAAAGGAGTTGAAAATGCAGCAAAGCACACGGAAAAATTAAACCAATCATTACAGCACCAGGGGTAACTGCTCTTGAAAGTGGGGTATGGTGCTCTGGTCTTCTTTCCGCCCCCCAGCACTATTTTCTGATTCAGATAACAAAAAGGGATAATGAAATGAGCATTATTTTGTAACCTGACTTATTCGTGTTAGATGTGTAGACATTTATGCAGATACTTACTGCATTGTCAAGTCATCATTTTGATGGTAATGTGTAGTATTATGTGCTACTTTGTCTTTTTTTTTTTTTTTTTTTTTTGGTCTTACACTGCGTTAGTGTGATGTACTGTGTATTTATAACCAAGCAAATCAACTTGTTCTGCAGACCCTTCACCCAGTACTAGTAAAATCAGGAGGAATGTTTGAGAAGAACTTGTGACTTTGTTCTTTTAGGTATTTGATAGCCATTCTGGTTCTCACTGGAGTTATCTTGCCTTCTTTCTTATTCAGCAAATACCCGACGTGTCACCAACAGGTCGTTACACAACACTGGTTCCTCTCTTATTTATTTTAGCTGTGGCAGCTATCAAAGAGATAATAGAAGATATTGTAAGTATTTCAATTTTTTATATATAAACTGGCTCAAGTGTATATTAATTTTGTTTTCTTAAGCTACTTAATTTGCAGCATACGCCCTTTAAAATGCCCATTCAACTTAAAAATGAATAGAATTGGAAATCATTTCTAACAGATTAATATCAAGAAATTCTTGATACAGTGTTCTCTTCAGTTTATAGTTTATTAATAAAAGAAACAAAATATAGTTATTGGCTTGAAGATAAAATTGCATTTGAACAGTTTCCAATTAATTGAAATAATCTCCAAGTTAAATATAAAAGATTTTTATTTGTACTTTTTATTTTTAAAATTAAACATTGTGGTTTTCACCTTGTTAGATGCCTGTTTCTTATCATTCTATTTTAGTATTCTGAGTTTCCTTTTCATTTATCTTGTCTTATTGAAAGAAAGTAGCAGTAAGTTTGTTATTTTTAGCTTCCATGGTAGGAAAGAGGAAGTCAGTTTCCCTTTGTAAAATAAATTCCCCCAAATAACTTTAGACCTTTTCTGCGTTCTATTTTAGCTGTCTTATCTGATAGAGCCAAGGTTGTGTTTTACACAGTGGGTTGTTTAGGATTCCAGTTGTTATACAGTACTCCTTTGCACGTCTAAAAATGACCCCCCCCCGTTGGGCTTTAGAGAGTCAGATTTGGGTGAAGGAGGCTGAGGAAGTCTTTATAAATACACAGCCCCAAATTTCACAAATAGTAGCATTACTTCTGCATCATCACTTTATTAATATTATTAAAAAGAGAAAAAACATAGACTCACATGACCTGCTAGAATTGAAGTGATTGGGCATTGCGTTGGTGGTCTCAAGGCTCTAAGTACGTAACAGTAGATGCTGAATACATAACTCTGTGTGTGTGTGTGTGTGTGCGCGCGCGCGCGCGCGCACGCCCGTTTAACACACGGTGGTGCTCTTGATTGGTGATATCCTGCTTGGGCCCACACTCAGGGAGATTGAAGGAATTCTCTTTCTTCGTGTGTTCCACTGACTTTCTTTAAGCTGTGGCTGGTTTCAGCAGCCCCTGGGGACTGGTCCTCACCATAACTTTTGTCTCTTTCTTTTTATTCTTTTCTTTCTTTAACTTGATTGTTTTCTGGGGCACATGTGATTCACTAGGCATTGTGCTATTGGCTTTGGGTTTGCTTGTTTGTTTTTCACTCAATGGCTTCAAGAGTTCTCCATTTAAAGCATGGAAGCTGGATCTGGAGAGATGGCTCAGTGTTTGAGGATGTGTTGCAGCTCCAGCAGAGGACCTGAGTGTGTTTCCGAGCACAGTGTCAGAAAGCTGGCAATTGCTTGTAACTGTTTCAGAGGATCTGATATCCTCTCCTAGCCTGGTTTCATTCACACATGCTCACACAGTCATGAATGTAAATTTAAAATATCAATTAGTCTTTTTTTAAAAAAAAAAAAACCACATCATGGTACAAATCAAAATTAGAGTTGTCTGTTGTTGGCTTAACGAAACCATAAAGCCATATTCAAAACCATAAAAACACTCTTTCTTTTAAGCCGGAAAATTATTAAACATTAGTAGGTTTCAGTCATTGCAAAATGAATACGTATTCAAAGTCTGTGGGGTGCAGGTACCAAGTATCAGGCATGTGCTGGTGAGTGAAAGAAGTCTGGTGGAGCTGAACATCCAGAAGAAGAACTAGATGGGCACTTGGTAAATAATGATTAGCAAAGAAAGAGGGTGCTAGATAAAGTAAGAGGGAAAAGAAAGTCCAGGGTGGCTTTGAGTTTCTGATTCATAAAACCGAGTGTGTGTGGGTTCGTGGTTCCTTGTCTGGGCTAAGGTAACATTACAGCATGGACACAGTTCAAGGCCCCTTTGAAACAGAGAGAGGAAGACAGACTCAGAGAGAGCAGAGGGAAGGAGAGAGGATGTGGGTATGGACTACAGGCAGCCCCAATGGTAATCTTGAAATGAAAGAGTTGAGCTAAGTAAGGAAAGTAGGGTAGAAGTGAGAAAGGGCGGGGACTAAACGTTGGTCATCCGCATCTCTAAAGAAGGGACCAAGTGAACTTGGAAAACAGTACCTAGGGGACAAAAGGAGTTTATGAACAGGGAGTCTGAGTCCATCACCTTCTCAGACAAATTCCATGACCCCTCAAAGACTCAGCTTCCTTCCCTCAGATGGAATTTCGCATGCCGCTTCCAGTCTTGTCAGAGAACTAATTCTGTTCATAGGACACCATTTGCTGATGGACTTCCTATCCAAAATGGAAAACAGCAGACATTCCACCATCTCGCAGTGATATTGAGTGAATTTTGATTATAAGTCAGTAGCATTTGGAATCAGAGAATAACTATGTTTTTGTGAACTTTTAGTTTTAGAACGAATAATATTTTTATCATTCAAACTATAAATTCCTTGTCTTTGGAAAGTTAGGAGCTGGACACTGACCTAGTTTATTAACTGGGGGGAGGCTGGAGACAGAGAGGGCCTGGGTTAAGAATTTTTGGTAGGTGAAAGCTAATGTCCAAGGCCACTTTTAGTTTTGTAAAGTTTCATTTCTTGTTTGGTATGAAATGTTTCATTAATTAACCTTTATCTCTATCTGTTAGGAGTCTAACCATTGTCCATCATAGATGTATATGGGGAAAGTAAAGATACACCTTCTTTTACTATCGAAATTTACCTTGGACTTTAAAGAAGTTTCTTGAATCAAGCTTACTTTGGATTACTTTCAAAATTTCTTGTCATCTCTACTAAGAAACAGTGGCAGAAAGTAGTTTGAACTTGACGATTGTATTTTTCTGTTGCTAAGTACAAAATGATTTTATTCCAAACAATATTCTAGCAAATTATACTTTCTTTTGGAAGCAGTAATATGCCCAGAGATTTCTTCACCATTACACATTTATTGTGAGCAGTTTGCACTGAGAAAGACGTGCCCTGTAGATGTGTGTGTATCCTGCCCCACAGCTCTGCACAGAGAGACTTGGGTCCTGTTTGTATGCTGCACAGTTCCGGTCGTACTCTGGCGACTTGAGTCCACACTGTTGGCTCTTCCTCCACTGTCTCAGATACAGCAGTGGCTCCCGGGAGCACTGACTCTTGGGCAATTATTTTCACTAAGCTTCAATACTGTATTTTCTTCTCAGACGGAAAGCTTAGGCACTTGCATTTGTCCTCAGTTCTCACAGCTGGTGCAAGCCTTGGCTTTCTAAAGTAGGATCTTCGAGCAAAGGATTAGTTACTCTCAACACTTGGCTGCCATGTTGCCCGAGTCTGGTGTGTCTCTCCATGCTGTAAGTTTAGACCGAAGCCACAGGAAACCTCCGGTTGAACTATAGAAGAGATCATGCCCATATCGGGCCCGCTGGCCATGAGCGTCTCACCTTTCCTCTGGCCTTCTGTTTCTTTCTCTTACTCTTCTGCAGTCTTGGCTTAGGTAACTGTTCAACCTCACCTGCCTCAACTTAAAAGTCACCTGCTCACCATTTCCTTTTGTGGGTGCTTTGGGAGGAAGAGAATAGCAGCTCTATTGCTCGGTGGCTTCTGTTGCACGTGGTGGTCCCGTGGGGCCGTGAAGACAGGCTGTCGTATAAGGGGAGGATGAATGTGTTTCCAGCTGTCGGCAGACATCCGTGCATCTTCAAATTATGGAGGATGTACTCAGCTTAATCAGATAATGAGTCTCACAAAAAGCTGAAAATACTTCAGTCCCATTATTAAATGGCAGTTATTATAGATAATTCTCTTGGGCGATCTTCTACGTGAGTTATTTAAGCAATAGACTAAATCCGGCTTTTGCTTCATGTTTTCTCTAGTAACGTTAAAATGTTATTCTCCCTGTTTGCTGTTTAAGAACTTTCTGAGGGCCCCAAGCTTGTGCTCTCAGGGAGGGGTCTGTGAACAGTCTAGCAACACCCCTGTCTATGAGTGCAGAAATCTAAAAAGCCGGAGAACATAAGTTGAATGACCTTTGTTGGTTGTGAGTGCCATTTTACTTTATCAAACTCGTTCACTTTTTCACTGAAGTTTTTGTTTTGTTTTGTTCTGAACTTTAGAAACGGCACAAAGCTGATAATGCTGTGAACAAGAAACAGACACAAGGTAGGTCCTTCACTTTTGTCTTGTGTTTACCAAGTGCGTTCACCGTCATATCCTCACTCTACTTAAATATGATTCGTTTGAGAATACTATGCTGTATTTTGAAATACCTTCTGTCCCAGATTATCCTTCTTACTTCATTAGCAATTATTAGCAAGGCACTTAAAATCACATGAGAGTGATATTTTTGAGAAAGCCACTTTTTAATATTCTCAGGTACTTCCTAGCTATATGCTTCTGAATATATTGTTTAAAAGGTCTACGACAGTTTTTTCACTGTATTAAAAACTATAAAGTGCTTTTACTTTATTTGTGGACAGTGTTGACTGTAGAAAGAAATAATAGAAAATTATCTGAAATTTTGTTAGTGGTTTGAAAACCACTGAGTTATTCCACACGGGCAGATGAAATTTGCCATCAGAATAAAGCCCATCGTTAAAACCAGGCCAGATTCTAGATGTGCATAGTGTTTTCATGGCCTTTTTTGGTGTAGACAAAACCAAAATGACCTTCAACACAGCCAAGAAGACTGTGCCTGTCAGGTTTTTAAAAAAATCTCTAGACCTTGCAAGCAGACATCCTACACCATCCCTGAGTTTGCTTCTGAGGAGGGACTCCTTTCTCTCTGCAGTTCTCTGGTGAAGGGATCGGGTATCTTACAAGCATCACCTAGTCTTCACACATAGTATTTAGGGCAGCTTCCGTGGGGAGGCCCTATGGCAGGGGTTTTCTCAACCTGTGGGTCCCAACCCCTTTGTATATCAGATATCTTGAATATTAGATACCATCACCATTCATAACAGTGACAAAACTGCAGTTATGAATAGCAGTGAAAGCATTTTACGGTGGCGGGTCACCACAACATGAGGAACTGTATTAAAGTGTCGCGGCATTGGGAGGTGGAGAGCCACTGCCCTGTGGGACTGCGCTCCTCTTTCTCATCACTTCCCACCAAGGGCTGCATCTGCTAGGTATTTATATATTTGAGGAGGATGTGTTTATTATTATTAGCCTAAAATATTTGAAGTATCTACCGAAATATTCCTTTGTGATGTAAGACAAGATCAACTGAGGATTTTAGCTTGGAAGAGCTTGCAGCCTACATGTTAGATTAATACATAGGAAAAAGGAACATACATGGTTAGAGATTTGGGTAGAAGGTGCAGGATTGGACTGTGAGGTCTCGATGGTGCATTAGATCTTTGTGGCAAATAGTGTTTTCCTTGTCTGATCCTGTAGAACCCCCCCCCCAAAAAAAAGGAGAACAGTCCTGGAATTCCTTGAGCTAGGTCTTGGATTTGGGGAGGACTGTGGATAAGTAGAGAGACACAGGGGTGACGTTCTGCCTGTGGGTTGAGTGGGAAAGGGGAAGAGAAGACAGCCTGAGAAAGAAGACGGACGGCTGCTGGATTGCTGGAGTGAGCTATTATTAGAGCATCAGGTGTCCAAAGGCGACTCATAGCAGAGGGAAGCAGCCATGTGATTACAAGATAGGCCGGTCAAATTTTATGAGACGGTAAATGCCGGGCAGAGGAGATTCCAGCTTTCCTTGCGCGTTCCCAGCAGCTATGACTAAGGCTTATGAATCACAACAGAAGCAGAGTGAACACGTAGGATCAGGATAGAGAGAAGAGGATCACGGGAGAGGGACTGGGAGCTGCTCCAGGAGTTCCATACAGAGAGTCAATCATAAGGATGCAAGGGAGCTATCTAGATGTTTGGGGTGCTAGTATTTCCCACAGTGTGCGACTCTTGCGTTTCTTGTCATGTTGTTTGGAATACTTAGTGGAAGCTTTTGGAGGACAACTATGCAAGCAATTTCCCAGCTCGTAATTATCCCTGGCAGAGCGCTCTGGTCTTCGGTGATTGGCTGGAGACTTCTGCAAACTTTGAAAGACAGCTGTCATTGTGGTATGATTTTTCGGTCAACAAACCTTGTGCCAGAGGGAGGCTGAATTCTTATATCTCCACTTCCCAAAGTGCTCCCTTTGGAAGGAACATTTTTTGTGGGTTCTTTCTGGGTTTTTTCCACCCTCTGCATGGGGTTGCAGGATTATCTCTCCATCTGGAAATGAAGACCAGACACGTGTGCGGGAAGGCTTCCCCACTAAGTGTAAATGAGCCTCACTTATACAATGAAATAGAAGGACTTGGCTATAGAAACCAGGTTAGTCAGCAGAATCCTATATCCAAGAAACAAGGTTGATGCTTGAAGTTGTTTCCTGGGTGATTGGCATCTTCCTGCTAATCTCTGCCTAGTTTGGGCACTGGTACTCTTGGTTTGGCAGATGATGGGAGATAACAAAAATGTTTGAACAGGATGCTGTCTGCTGTCAGATAACTCAAATTATTTAATATGAGAGCCATCTGTTGCCATTAGACCAGAGTGAAATTCGATTTATTTTCCTGAACCAAGGCAGTGATTGGTGTGTAGGAGGGGGAGGAAGATATTTATGACAGGTAATTAATTTTGACAAAGATTTAAAGTATTAAGCTTAGATTTTCTAAATGTTTGCCAAGGCCACATAATGCATGAGAGGACACGTCTTATTCTAATGCTAGGGCTCACTCTCAGATATTCCCACTCAAAGGAGTGCTCTTTCGTATTTGGGTCAAGACACAAGAAAGCCTGCTCTGCTCTCTCACTCTCGGCATCCCTGGAGACTTCAGAAACACACAAAAAATTACCATTTATTTCCAATATTTTTTAGCCACCTGGCTATCATTTGGTGCCTGTCCGTCACCTCATTTTTACCAGCTAAGTTACGGGGCTTGGTCCAACTCAGAGCTTTACAACTAGGCTTTACATTTAAGCTTTGTCCTCGATATTTCTGGAGAAATGCCACTTTTTGCCTTGGAGATCCATATGTTGGTTAAGCAGATGGATTAGTGATCTGGCAAATGGAAGTTATTTATTGTTTTCCAAGAACCTAGTTGCAGAGAAGGGGCAGGGCATACACTGATGCTAACAAGCGCAGGTACACATGATTCTGGGTGAGCTTTGTGGTCCATTCATGCCAAACAGTAGTGATTGCTTTTCTTTATGTCTTTGTGCTGCTGTGGTGATGGTTTGTATGTAGTCAACAGGGACACTGCAGAGGACAGGCCCATCACTTGCTCATCTCTAGATTTCCAGGAGCTTCCAGCCCAGGGGCCTGTCTTAGCATATGCTGCATGCATTTGCCTCTGTGTGTGTATATGTGCATGCATGCATGTGTGTGTGTTTATGCATGAGTGGTGTCCGTGTGCACACACACATGTATGCGCATATGTGTACATGTGTACATGTGGGTGCATGCATGAGCAGTGTGTGTGTGTATGTGTATGTCCATTCTCCAGAAGAATACCTGGCTATAACTAACAAAGGGAGAACAGAGAGACTGGGCATGCAAGGAGCTCTCTTGAGAATTTGTGATCTAAGGTGAGAAAAAGATGAAGCACTATATGTGTACACATACACTATATATATATATGTATATGTATATCACTGTGTTCTGGACTGCTTTGCAGGCACGGATCAAATCTTAGCATGATGGGAACACTCACACTTCCTTATCTTCACTGTCAGTCATTTAAGCATCTCTGTTACCCTAGCTTTATAACTCCAGTAAATGGATACAGTATCCATTTCTCACTTTCATTATTCAGAACTCAGCACAGGGTCATACTTGAGGGCCTCGGTTTTCCTTGCATCTAAATTCCCCTCTAGTTCCTCTGATTTCTTCTTTCATCCTCAATTTTTCCTGCACACATGCACACACACACACACACACACACACACACACACACAAGATTCTTTCCCTGTCATCCCTGAACTGGGGTGTTTGTGCCAAGCTTACCTCTGTGGACTACACACTTGGCATTGTTACTGTAATATCTACATTGTCTCCAATCCCCGTGTGGATTTATTGTGGTGGTTCTGCCAATGCTCTCCTTAAATTGTAAAACCCTTCTTCTGTTTTCTATGGAATGCTATGAGAATTTCGAGTAAAATTATGGCATGGAGGGCTGAGAGAAGATGGAGCTTGGGTAAAGAGAGGAGATGGAGCTTGGGTACAGACTAAGGTAGCCAGGATACTTTATAAGTGGCGGTGAATAGAAGTGATGTTTAAAACCCCAGGTTTGGACATACTCCCTGAAGGATGCTCTGCCGACGTCCAACAAGTGTGGTTTGGGAAGCAGAGCCACCTGCTGACCCCCTGGCTTGTTCTGTGGTTGGATGAAAGCCAACGTTACTGGAGTTAGTTTTCATGCTACCTTCTCTTACTATCATAGCAGGTGTGTTGTGAAAAATAAGCCTTCGTTAATGAACTTTCTCTGCAATTAGACTCCGTAGAGAAGGCGATATGAAATCCTCGTAACCTAGGCACACCGGCTTTTTAAAAATTTATTTTATGTGTATGAATGCTTTGCCTGTTTGTATGTATGTGCGCCATGTGTGTGCCTGGTGCCTGTGGAGGTCAGGAGAGGGCATTTGATTCCCTTGGAACTGAAGTTAGGATGATGATAGACCACTAACCCAGGTCCTTTGCCAGGGCAACAAGTGTTCTAAACTGATGAGCCATCTCTCCAGCCCCTCTCACTTAGACACACTAGACACACCACAAACTAACTGACCCCCACCTGAATTTCCTCCTCAGTGCTGTACTGTCTCATCTGGTGTGGAAGTGAGGTAGTATTGTCAGGGCGCAAGCAAGACCCTGTGGTGTGCACAGTTGGTAGTTGCTGACCGCCCCCTGGAAACCACGGGACTTTTAAAGTCTTCTGCGGAAAAAGCATTGAGGTGCTGTTTGGGTAATTCAGTCTGAAGTGACCCACTAACAGGACAGAGTCCATCTGCTTCAGTTCTCATCAGAGCTGACAAAGGACTTAAAATAGCACCAACCCACTGGCCCATGGAAACACGAAGCAGTGCCTTCTGTCTCAGGGCAGGTTCCCCACGTATGAACATGCCCCTTGCCATGTGAACATCAGCTGACCTGTGTGCAGCTTTTTAGATGGTA